CAAGTTCGAACCACACTCTCTACTCTGGTATGAATCCTTTCTTTTTGTAAAGGTAGAAGAGAAAGCCATCTTGGAGACCATGGTGACTCAAAGACTATAATCTCCACGTTAACGTGGAAAAAGAGTAAGTTGTTGTATAGCACATGTGCTGGTGTAGCTTGACTCCCAGATGGAGTCTACACTACAGCTACAAACTGGAATCAGGGATGTTCAAGTATTCTCAGTGAACCCAATCACCTCCCTGGGCACATGGCCCTCCACAGGCAAAGGCTACTTCCCATAGAGGTGGTAAGACTGGGACCCAGAGGCAGAAGGCTTGTGTTGGGAAGCTGACTTCATTCAAGAACATTGTAGCTTGGGCAATATTTAACCTTTTCCCACATCAGTTTCTTTATTTCTATTGAAAAGACTGCAACATGGCAGGTGGTGGCATATACTAGTCCCAGCACTCGGGAGACTGAAGGAGGATTTTGAGTTTGAGGCCAGTCTGTGTTATATCATGAAACCCTGTCTTGAGAAACAAACAACAATAGAACCCCACAAAACCAGATCTTGGGCATTAGCTACTAAATGCTCAGAACAGAGCCAAATACTCACTGCACACCAAGCTGGTGGGGTGGCATGGTTGGGAGTGGATATGTACGAGGCTTACTTGACCTCAAAGTCTAGCTCTGTGAGTTCAGACAAGTCTTTGGTCTACATGCCTTCCTTTCCTCCTCTGCCAAGTGGAGTTAAAAATAGAACTGATCTCATAGATTATGTTGGTGATTAATTGAGGAACAATGGGAGACACCCATAGCTGTTGCCTAACGTTACCAGGATTTGGGTTGCGTTAAGTTAGGTCAGAGGGGAGGAGACTGGAAAGATGCCATCCCTTGAACCTCAGGGATGGATAGCACAGGCAGAGGACACAGGGATAGTTTTATTTTTGAGGCCAAGTGTCAGAGTATTGCACACACTTGAGGGTCAGCTCCTCTCGTTGTTGTAGGAACAAGGAGGAACTTCTGTGTCTTGATCTCATAGAGAAGGCTGGATTGGGGCGTAGGAACCTGCTGCTGATGGGGTCCCCAGAGACTGAGAAGAGCACCTGGCATCTGGAAGAAGGGGCCTGAAGATGAGCAATGGACATGGGGACATGGAACGTGTGGAACCCTGCCCCGAGAAGAGCAAGGAAATGGAAATGATTGCTCACAGGGAGAACATGGCCAGCATAGACACTGTCTGAAGTCCTCCAGATCCCCCTCCCGGCAGGAGGGAGCCTCCAGGGTCTGAGGAAAGCACTGTGAAATGTAGTCAGCTCCTCACTGTGGCTATTCACTTGAGAATCTCTCCATTTTTTCACTCACTCAGTCACTCAGATCTTGAACGAGGCCTGGTCTGTGTGTGTGAGCCACATCACGTATGGGCAAACTCAGAGGGGGAACCTAAGTGTGGCTGATCTGACAGAGGCCTTCACTCACACATAACAAATACTTTTTGAGCACCTGCTGTATGCTAGCTACCATTCAAGGATTCAATTGTATGCCTTCCTTTTAGGCACTTGTAGTTGATGAGAAGTGGAGATTATAAAAACCAAATAAGATATAATGTGATATCCCTGGATCCCAGGGTATGGATTTGTTCAGCTTTAGCAAATGTCGCTAAGAAATTTTCTAAAGTCGCTATAAGGAGTTACACCCTCTACCAATAGCACGTGAAGATCTGTGTCCTTGCCAACACTTGGTAGTTTCTTTTTCATTTTAGCCATTGTTTTGTATCATGGTTTAAATGAAGTCGTTTGTGACGTTGAGCACATTTTCACAGACTTGTCTGTCTTCTCTTTGGATTCCTCTCCCTCCTCCCGTCCCTTCTTTCTCTTCCTTCTCCACCACCTCTCTCTTTCCCATCTGTGATATGCTCACAGTGAGCATATCCTCCTGAAGTGGCTGCCTGATTTACTGAAGCCAGTCAGGGAAGAGCAGGAAGCCAGGACGCTGGAGTAGAGGGAAGGGGAGCAGAGGTCAGAGGAACGTGGAGGAGCGTAGGTTCTGGTGAGTCACAGTTAGCACAGGAGTCTGGATCGCAGTGTGTGAGCACCTACTTAACAGGGCCATTCTGCTGGAAGACTCAAGGTTCCCAAAGATGTTTGTGCACTACTCCCCAGACTCCTCCGGCAGAGGGAATTAATGTTGCCCCTTGCTGGTCTTGAGCACCCTGGGCTGTCTTGATGGCCCCCATGTATCCACAAAGGTCCTTATAAGTGGACAGCAGGCGGGTGACGAAGAGCGTGAGCCAGCTTAGTCGACATTGCCGGATGTGAACATGAGGAAGGGAAGGAGTCATGAGCTGTGAGCCTTAGTGTCATCTGTCAACTTGACAAAATCCAGACTCGCACGGGATTCTGAGCAAGCCTGTCAGGGGTTATCTTGATGATGTTAATGGATGTGGTAAGACCTATGTTAGTCCTGGGTGGGACCATTCTCTGGGGAAGGGATCCTGGACTATATAAGGAGAGAGAGAGAGAGAGAGAGAGAGAGAGAGAGAGAGAGAGAGAGAGAGAGAGAGAGAGAGTCTGTCGTCTGTCTGTCTGTCTGTCTGAGGTGCTCTCTTCTAACTGCAAGAGCATAATGTGAGCTGCTGCATGCATCTACTGCCTTTGTACCGCTGCCTTGACGGACAGTATTTTGAACTGTGAGTTAAAAGCCTGCCTGCCTTGAGTTGCTTTTTGTCATGATATTTTATCACTGCAACAGAAAAGATTCTAGGGCGGAAGTGAAGAAGTGGGAAAGGTCAGGAAATGGGCTCTCAAGGATGCAGAAGGAACTCACCTTGCTGACACCCTGATTTTAGATTATTGAGATGCATTTGAGATCTGCGGACCCAGAGCTCAACTGCATTGTTTTAAGTCACTGTCTCAGTTAAGGTTTCTATTGCTGCAATGAAACACCATGACCAATGTCTTAGTTAGGGTGTCTATTGCTGTGAAGAGACACCATGATCATGGCCACTCTTATCAAGAAAAACATGTAATTGGGGTGACTCACTTACAGTTCAGAGGTTCAGTCCATTATCATCCTGGCGGGAAGCAAGGCACCATGCGGGCAGACAGAACAAGGTAGTTGTTTTAACTGACGCTGACCCAAGGAGCTAACCCAGGAATTTCTCTGTTTATAAGAAAATGAATCCCGGGGCTCTTTCTCTGGGGTAATGTGAAATCATGCTTACTTAATTAAAGCTTGTTCCTAGAGGCCGGTTCTTCAGGCTCCTTTGGGGCCGAAGGTTCAGGCTCCTGGTCCAGGCCATCCAGCTGACCGAATGGCAGATCTTGCACACAAAGGTGTGTATGGATGCTAGAACTGCTCAGCCCAGGAAGTTAGGAGCAGGGATGTGTCTCACCTCATGTCAGGGAGCACATAGTTGTCCCAGCTGCTGGCTTATAAAGGTTACCTGGTGTTCTAGTTAGGGTTTCTGTTGCTATGAAGAGACACCATAACCACAGCAACTCTAATAAAGGAAAACATTTCATTGGGGCTGGCTTACAGCTCAGAGGTTTAGTCCATCATCATCATGGTGGGAAGCACGGTGGCATGGTGCATGGAGGCATGGACTTGGTGCTGGAGAGGGATTTGAAAGGTCTACATCTGGATCCTTAGGCAGCAGGAAGAGAAGATGACTCTGGGCCTGGCTGGAGCATCTGAAACCTCAAAGCCCACCCCCAATGACACACTTCCTCCAATAAGGCCACACCTGTGGTGGCCATTTTCATTCAAACCACCACATTTTGGGAAGTTGAGCTGGTTGCCCTGTTCTTCCCAGCTTCTGGGTCCACGGGGCAGGAAGAGCCAAAGGCCCTCCGTGGAATTTTCTAGGCCTTTTCTGGATATACCAGATTTTAAAGCGAGGCCCGAGCCTGCTTCATTCTCTAATTTTTCTAGCATTTTCCCACTGCAGGTGGGTAGGTAGCCCTTACAAAGTTTAGAGAATTCTCAGAAATCCTTACTTTCAACTTTGGATGTGTTCAGCAAGAGCATTCGTCACCATCTCATGAACACTGACTCCCATTGGGTTAGGTTCTTTCTAGGGCATTCTTAACCTTCCTAATGCTGCGGATCCTTTAACACAATTCCACATGTTATGGTGAACCCCCCAACCATAAAATTAATTCATCGCTACTTCATAACTGTAATTTTTGCTACTGTTATGAATTGTGATGTAAATATCTGATATACAGGATATCAGATGATGTTCAACCCCAAAGAGATCCCAACCCACAGATTGAGAACCACTGCCCTAGAGTGTGTTTTATTGGACTCCGTAGACAGTTGCTCACTGGTAGACCTTGGTATTTCCCATTTTATGGGTGAGGAAACTCACCTTCAGCCAAGGTGGAGGATCTGCTGAAGATCAGCGGTGGCCTTGGTAACGGAGGTCTCACTGGTCCTTCAAGTCACATCACTGACGGACAACACAAACCGCAAAGCTCTCTTTCTCCAGTAAGCCGGTGCTGTCGTTTGTCAGTGGGGTCCTATTAGACGGGACGAACACCTTCCCTGCCCCAGCAAAGGCGCACAGAAAGGACAGTTTTCTAGCGTTCTGCCGTAGAGAGCACAAAGCAGAAATGCTGGAAAGGCCAGAACTGGGAAGGGAAGGAGAGCGTTTGTTCCGGAAGTACTGCCGTCTCTTAGGGGGAATGCAGGTGTTCTCAGAGCCGTGAGTGGAAGACCCGCCTTGGATCCCACATGGGAGATTCCGACAGATACCAACTCATGAGCACATTACCATTCATACCTCATTTTCTCATTCACCAAATTAAGTCATTATATCCTTGGGTCGGGGGGATAAGCTGTAACATTGGCTGTACAGTATGCAGTCAATATCCCTACAGGTAGCAGATTGAGTTTAACAAGCCATATGGGTTGTAATTGTCCAAGTATGATTAATTAGTAATGTTTGTTCATTTTATGTCTTATATTATGGTTTGTTATGATTTCATTTAATTACAGTGCGAGCCCCTTTTCTAGGTGTCGTTGGAAACCTGTAGGGATTTTCATATTCCCCAAGTGACAGCAAATGACCTCTCCGTGTCTACACTCTATCCGGGACTCCCTCCTATTGGCAGGAGAGCCACAAAAGAACGATGTGAAGTTGGAGCAGATGGTGCATCCGTCCGTTGCTGAACTCTGCTCGCAGCCCAAAGGAGGACTTGATACTGAAGGTGCTGTAATGGCTTTCTGCTCAGCTTGTTGTAAATCCTAAATGGGGTGATTGAGGGCTGGAACGATCGGTGTTGTTGGGCGCCTCTGGCTGCAGCATCTGGTGAATGCCTTCACTTGCTGACAGCTGTTAGTCTTGGCCTTATGGTGTGCTCCCCAGACCTTTGGTTTTAAGTAGGTTGTAGATTAGGCTAGAAGCAAGTATCACTAGTTCATGTATCAATAAGAAGAAAAAAAAATACCCCCGTAACTTTGTTTTCAGGATTAACAATACATTTGGTAAAAACAGAGCCTTGTGTGTGCTATTATGGAAGTACTTGAAAGCCAGATTTTTATTACAGGTTTTTAGTTTAGGAATTTAAATTGATATTCCTGAGCCTTGTGTAGCCTCTCTCAGAGACAAATCCAAAGTGCTAACAGCACCAGGGAAATCTTGAAAAATTGGCCTCCTCTCTTGAATCAGTGAGGCCAACACAGGAGACAGAGGCAGTCTGCTTTCTGGGATACGGGCTCATGGGAGAAAAGTGTGGCCCTCTGCACTGAAAGCTCCGTTAGCCAATAATTTAAAAGCACCACAATTTAAGAACTAAGAATAATAGAAATAAGATGTCTAGAGTAAATGTTCCTGTCCTTAAGGTTACAATGAGGTCCTCTCAGATTAGTCTTGGGGTAATTAATACGTTTAAAATAAGAATAAAAATAAGACTCTGAAAAATTATCAAAAGTTAAAAGTTTTAAAAATATTATTCTTTCTTATCAATTTTTGTAGTCATTAAACATCTTTTTTAATTGCGTATCTATATTTATTTTCTTTGTCATTTAAAATATTATTACTAGTGGTCAATGGGGTGTAGCATGAATCTTAAAAGGTCTTATTAATAAAATCAAACCTGAGGCCAGTTATTGGGGTGAATGCTGGAAGATCAGAGAAGCAGAACAAGCCAGAGCCTCACATCGCCAATTCCTCAGCTGATCCTGTTTCCTCAGACTGGAGGCCTCTGAGTCCTTGTCTGGAATGAATCTCAGCTGAACTGCTACTAAAAGCCTAGAAGCTTAACCAGACTAGTTCCTGGTCCTCACACCTTATATACCTTTCTGCTTTCTGCCATCACTTCCTGGGATTAAAGGCGTGTGTCACCATGCCTGGCTGTTTCCAGTGTGGCTTTAAACTCACAGAGATCCAGATGGATCTCTGCCTCCCAAGTAATAGGATTAAAGGCGTGTGCTACCACTGCCTAACAATATTAAACTGTGTTTAATATTGTGGCTGTTCTGCTCTCTGACCCCAGATAAGTTTATTAGAGTGCACAATATTTTGGGGAACACAGTATCACCACAATGGGGAGGGCCCAGCCTATCGTGAGTGGTGCCATCCCTGGGCTGGTGGTCCCGGGTTCCATAAGAAGGTGGGCTGAGCCAGCTACAGGGAGCAAGCCAGTAAGCAGCACCCCTCCATGGCCTCTACATCAGCTCCTGCCTCTAGGTTGCTGCCCTGTTTGAATTCCTGTCCTGACTGACTTCCTTCATGATGGACTGTGATGTGGAAGTATAATCCAAATAAAGCCTTTTCTCCCCATCTTTCTTTTGGTGATGGTGTTTGTCACAGCAATAGTAACCCTAGCCAAGACAGCTCGTTTGTTTGTTTTGATTTCTTTGTGTTTCCTGGTTTTTTTTTTTTTTTTTTTTTTTTTTTTGAGAGAGAGAGAGAGAGAGAAAGAACATAAAGTTGGGTGGGTAGGGAGGAGGATAGGATCTGAGAGGAGTTGAGGGAGGGAATAAAAATGATCAAAATATAGTGCATGAAAAAACTCTGTTCATTAAAACAACAAAAAAATAAAAGATCATTACTGCTGGTGTGCATGTATTGGGTGTGGGGTGGTTTACATGTGAGGGGGGTACCCGTCTGTGACCCCAGCACTCTGGATCAGCTGGGGAGGAAAGATGTAGTAGGTTGGGCTACAGATCAAGTTCAGGGCAATCGTGCATTATATAAGTAGACCCTGTTGCAAACCAAACCAAACCAAACCAAAAAACACAAGGGCTGGAGGTGTACCTCTGTGGTAGAGTGCTTGCCTGGGTTTACTCTTCCAGGCAGCAAAGTTAAAATAAAACATTGTTGTTGGATTTAGGGGCTCCTCGGTGTGGGCGTCCCCCCCTCCTAGAAGCAAAAGCTGTTTCAGTGAGAAATGAAAAGCGGAAGGGTGGGGGCAGGCAGTAGGGAGGACAGGTTTGGGTCTGCAGACAGAAAATCTGTCGCCTCCGGAATTAAGGCTGTTGGCACAGTTTTAGTCCGGGAAGATCCAGCCTGCGACTGCACACATTCTCCACAAAGATAAAGGGACACATTTGGAAGTGGGGACAAAAACGTCCTGAGATTGTCAAGTGAGTGAGGGCCGCTTAACAAGGATTCAGCCTACTTGAAGAATAAGAGATAAGAGCAGAGATTTTTTTTTTGGGGGGGGGGTCTGGAAATGCTTCCCCTTTGCCAACAGAAAACCAAACGCTCAATCCTCTTGTTTTCAAAGTTCCTGCCATGTCTGCTACCAGACGTCACAGTTTTATGCTCTGCTCTGCAAAGATGCCAAGCTTTCCCATTAGTCCAATACCGTAGATGAATGCTGAGCTGGTGCTGAGACTCCAGCTGATGTTGCTGCTGAAGATGATGATGTTTAAGATGCTGCTGCTGCTGCTGCTGCTGCTGCTGCTGAGGTTGAAGAGGTCACTAGTGATGTCGGAGAGGATAGCAAATCTTATCTAATGATAACTTCTAAAGAGCCCAAGGTCCGAGAGGCCCTTACAAATGTTGATAACCCATGATAGGAACTCTGCCAGTAAACCTGATATTTCAAATCAGCCACCTCCAGAAATCAACTTGGATAGTGCCCAGAATTTGTATATAGGGAAAAATGGGTTGAATTGCATGTGTGTGCTAAAAACATGTGTATGTGAGAGAAAGCAGGTTTATCCTGTAAGATTAGAAATTCTTTAAGATGACTACCCTCAGTGGTTCCTCTTACTTGGTCATTGTAACAAGGAAGACTGAGATTTAGAAAGATTAAGTGACTGGCCCCAGGTCGCCCAACTGTAAATGGTGGAAGCAGGGTTGGAAATCGTCCTCCTGATAAACTCATCAGTTCTCAACCATGAAGATTCCTTAGATGTCACTATTTTTCTTGCCTCTTTATTTACCAAAGAAACTACCAGTCTCAGTCCTGGTCCCAGGCCATCTTTGGTGTCTCACAGATGGGTCACAGCATATGAAATATGGCTTTAATTATGAGTACAATATTATGAAGTCATAGTTTGGATATTACCACCTTCCTGGGCATAGATGATGGGTATAAAATGAATGTCGGGGCAGCATGGAGGAGAAGAAAGAATTGTCACCTACGACTCAGGACGACTCCATTCACTCATGAGGGGTATGAGGTGGTCAAGTTGTAAGACTTCTATGAGACTCATTTTTCCTCACTGTTAAAAGGAGAAAATTAGGCTGGGCGGTGATGGCACACGCCTTTAATCCCAGCACTTGGGAGGCAGAGCCAGGCGGTTCTCTGCGAGTTTGAGGCCAGCCTGGGCTACCAAGTGAGTCCCAGGAAAGGCGCAAAGCTACACAGAGAAACCCTGTCTCGAAAAACCAAAAAAAAAAAAAAAAAAAAAAAAGGAGAAAATTAGAGTAAATGATGTCCAGGGTTCTCCACGGTACAAGGTCCAGAACTTTAAGATGATGGAAGCCACGGGTCACATGCGGACTAACTCTTATTGTTTTGTGCCATTGTTTGTGTTAATGTGAAGACACAATACAGTTGGAAGTGGCAGGAGGCAAATGGTATGCCTGTGAAGTCTTCCTTCTCCAGGCCTAGGATTCATCCCCCTGGGAAGGGCCAGAGAGGCTGGCAACTGCCAGTTTCCCTGAAAAAAGGGTTGCAGTGTGGTTATGCCAAGAACTCTGTGTCGACCTGGCCCCAGTCCCGAGCCGCTTGTTCGTGCCTGCTCCTGCCAACTGCTGCTTTCTGCTCTAGCTGTTTGGAATCTGGGCCTGGCAATCTGGCTCTGCCTTGGCATGTCTCTTGTATGTCTCTTTCTGTGTATGCCTGTGTTTGTGTATGTGAACGTGTCTGCAGTCCCAGCATGCCATCATGGAGAGGGATAAAAACAGTACCCAGATGTGGGGCTTCCTCTTTACCTATATACTGCTAAGTCAGATCTCAAATTTGACTCTCCCTCCTCAATTCCTAACCCCTTCGATTCCGTTTACAGAGCCCATGAGAGAAGCAGCAGATAGAAAGCAGGGACTGTGTCACAGTAAGCTAGCTGGTGGCCCAGCACCTTCACAAGCATTGAGCTCAGCACATCTGGACAGCGGCATGGGCATCTCTTGCCTTCTGCTCCTTGGACTTTTGCCTGTGCGGCATATTGTAGGGATTGAGGGGATTGAGGCATTCAGGTCTCACCAGCAGCTGGACCTGGAGCTCCATTGTGGGCTGGAGGCATCTTAGTGGGTGTGTGAGGGTGTCTGTCTGGACCTGGGAGACAGTGCTGGGTAAGAGGGTGTGTGGGTGTGTGACACCCTTTTATGGTACAGCCTAGGTCTTGTAGCCAACAATGAATGGTCTCTTAGTGCCTGGGCTTTTCAACTGTCAAGACAAATGAGCATTTCTTACGATTTTTAAGTCAGTCTCAGGTGACTTGGGAGGGAAAAAATAATTTAGACAACATTGCCTGTAAATTTGTGGGAATTATGGAGTTGACAATTTTTTCTTATCTTTTTTTTTTTTTTTTTTTTTTTTGTAGTGTGTAGACTTGAACCCAGGGTGGTGAGCATGCCAGACAAATGGTCTAACATTAAGTTATATCCTTAGCCTGATCATTTCCTGTCTTACTGGTATCTATTTGGTGCCTTTAATAATTTTAAAATCGTGTCTTTTCACTGTCCCTCACTCTTGGGTTAACTTTCATTGTCCTTTTGCAGTACTGGCATCTATTTTAGGGTTTTGTGCATGGTAGGTAAGCACGGTACTGCTGAGCCATGTGCCTAATTTTCAAGATAGAGCTGTGTAGCCCTGGTTGGCCTTGTGTAGTCCAAGCTGAGCTTGGATTCAAAATTGCCCTGTTCCAGCCTCCTGAGTACTGGGATGACAGACCCATGCCATCAAGTCTGCCTCTTCACTTGGTGATTGGTGTGGGCAAAGTTTCAGTAGCTGATTGTTCTTTCCACTGGTGCATGTGGGTGCACCTATCCTGAAGACAGAGACTGGCAAGGAACTGCCTGCCCTCTCAGAACTTAATTTCAACAGAGAACACTACCGAGCGATGTCAAGCCCAAAGCAGGAGATGCCAAGAAATACCTAAGAGAACGCCAAAGTAGAGTGTTAGTTCACCAAGCGCTACTGTTTCGTCCACATGTACCAGGCCTGAGCAGGGAAGCCTGCTGAATGTAGGAAAGATCGGGTCCTGCCTCAGACATCCCATTCTGGCTGAGGAGATCATCGAACACACAAGAAATGGAACCACTGTGAGGACGACATCACCGCCCAGCTGGATTTCAGTCATGGCTATTTAGTGTCAACCGTAGTCAACTTACAATCTCTAGGATTTATTTGGTCTGCTTGTTTGCTTCCTAATTATAAGTTGGAACTGGCAGGTTATGTGGTGATCTGGGGACTGAACTGTTACGTAACAGATCTGTACAGATCTGTAGCTTTTCTTAAGTGGCACCTCAGTTCAGTGAGGGTAGCACCCATC